AAGGTTTTTACACGGAAAAGTTTACAAAAAACAAAATTGAAAAGACCATGGAAAAATAAGCTATTGAAAGTGATATCTGGCATCTCAAAAATAAATAATCTATTGTATAAAATTGTTTTGAAATTCCTATACACAATGATTATTTCGGAACACTTGCCTCTCAGTACTTATAGCTAACCAACTACATGTAGTGCACTGACAGTACCGATAACTACCGGGGTTTTCGGCCCGGGATAAACTTAGCCCACCAAAGCACATTTTGCCGGTTGTTTATCCATCACCCCTTAAGGCCCTGGTTCAAGTTCTATGTATTAACGTAATTGAGCATTTCAACACTTAACTCCACGGATTGTTTAGTATGACTGAAAAGAGAGCGATGAACACTTTGTAATGTTGGGATGGTGTAGCTGTAATATCTTACCGCTTATGATTTTGAAAACTAAATGGTCTCTTTAAAGAAGCTACCACTGCTTCTTTTTCGACAGTCGGTGTCAAGGTATCGCTGTTATTATTTCGCGTCCGTTTGACCGTGTCGATTTGATTCAACTGGCGTCGACTAGCTCGAGGTAGAACGCACAATAACACGTGCATGATTGGAGATGCTCTTAGTGATGAAAAGGATGTCCCTGTCTCTGTTGGCTGCAAAGTCAACTTACACTTTTGGGCGAAAATAACTTCGTTTTGCAGGTGGGTAGCAAGTTACTTGAGGTAGACTACACGTAATAATGATGACGTGATTGGGGCAACTCACTTGAGCTCACTAAGGGCCTTTCTAAGTACGAAAAAATACTTCACTTAAGTTCGAATTCGTACACGCGCGCCACAGTTGACCCATACTTTTAAACCAGCCACGTTCGGCAAAATTAATCAGAAATCACAATGTATCAAAAAGGACCAAAGAGAGTTGTGCACAAAACTCACATTCAGTTTGTCCGATGGGGATAAACACTCGCCGTACGCAGAAAACCTCAGTGCTGCCACTATTAATAGCGACGTCTGGTGTATTCGAAGATTTACACTTCGACGTCCAGAAATGTAAGCGACGTAAGAAAATACACCCCTTCGACGCCCACTTATGAGTCACTCTTTCGAATTAATGTGCTGCTGTTCATGGAGACCAACCTCATCAAATGTGGCGTTGTTGTTTTTTGCTCCATGGCCGTCAGAAGCTTCCAATCCATCTATTAATACAAGCCGTCAGAGAACGTCCGATGCGCACGTCGCACA